CAGTTCTAGTTCAGTTCTAGTTCAGTTCTAGTTCAGTTCTAGTTCAGTTCTAGTCAGTTTCTAGTTCAGTTCTAGTTCATTCTAGTTCAGTTCTAGTTCAGTCTAGTTCAGTTCTAAGTTCATTCTAGTTCAGTTCTAGTTCAGTTCTAGTTCAGTTCAGTTCTAGTTCAGTTCTAGTTCAGTTCTAGTTCGTTCTAGTTCAGTTCTAGTTCAGTTCTAGTTCAGTTCTAGTTCAGTTCTAGTTCAGTTCTAGTTCAGTTCTAGTTCAGTTCTAGTTCAGTTCTAGTTCAGTTCTAGTTCAGTTCTAGTTCAGTTCTAGTTCAGTTCTAGTTCAGTTCTAGTTCAGTTCTAGTTCAGTTCTAGTTCAGTTCTAGTTCAGTTCTAGTTCAGTTCTAGTTCAGTTCTAGTTCAGTTCTAGTTCAGTTCTAGTCAGTTCTAGTTCAGTTCTAGTTCAGTTCTAGTTCAGTTCTAGTTCAGTTCTAGTTCAGTTCTAGTTCAGTTCTAGTTCAGTTCTAGTTCAGTTCTAGTTCAGTTCTAGTTCAGTTCTAGTTCAGTTCTAGTTCAGTTCTAGTTCAGTTCTAGTTCAGTTCTAGTTCAGTTCTAGTTCAGTTCTAGTTCAGTTCTAGTTCAGTTCTAGTTCAGTTCTAGTTCAGTTCTAGTTCAGTTCTAGTTCAGTTCTAGTTCAGTTCTAGTTCAGTTCTAGTTCAGTTTAGTTCAGTTCTAGTTCAGTTCTAGTTCAGTTCTAGTTCAGTTCTAGTTCAGTTCTAGTTCAGTTCTAGTTCAGTTCTAGTTCAGTTCTAGTTCAGTTCTAGTTCAGTTCTAGTTCAGTTCTAGTTCAGTTCTAGTTCAGTTCTAGTTCAGTTCTAGTTCAGTTCGTTCAGTTCTAGTTCAGTTCTAGTTCAGTTCTAGTTCAGTTCTAGTTCAGTTCTAGTTCAGTTCTAGTTCAGTTCTAGTTCAGTTCTAGTTCAGTTCTAGTTCAGTTCTAGTTGAGTTCTAGTTGAGTTCTAGTTCAGTTCAGTTCAGTTCTAGTTCAGTTCTAGTTCAGTTCTAGTTGAGTTCTAGTTAGTTCTAGTTGAGTTCTAGTTAGTTCTAGTTGAGTTCTAGTTCAGTTCTAGTTCAGTTCTAGTTCAGTTCTAGTTCAGTTCTAGTTCAGTTCTAGTTCAGTTCTAGTTCAGTTCTAGTTCAGTTCTAGTTCAGTTCTAGTTCAGTTCTAGTTCAGTTCTAGTTCAGTTCTAGTTCAGTTCTAGTTCAGTTCTAGTTCAGTTCTAGTTCAGTTCTAGTTCAGTTCTAGTTCAGTTCTAGTTCAGTTCTAGTTCAGTTCTAGTTCAGTTCTAGTTCAGTTCTAGTTCAGTTCTAGTTCAGTTCTAGTTAGTTCTAGTTCGGTTTTAGTTCTGTTCTAGTTCAGTTCTAGTTCAGTTCTAGTTCAGTTTCTAGTTCAGTTCTAGTTCAGTTCTAGTTCAGTTCTAGTTCAGTTCTAGTTCAGTTCTAGTTCAGTTCTAGTTCAGTTCTAGTTCAGTTCTAGTTCAGTTCTAGTTCAGTACTAGATCGGTTTCAGATCTAATATGATTAATCTCTAAATAACAAAAATTAAATTTATTGACTACAATATAAAGTTTTCGCTAGGTGTATAATAAACTATATCAGGCGGTATAAATTATACTGTTTTATACTCAAACTTGATTAGTATTATTTAAAAATTGACCAATTCCCAATGGCTAAAAATTGCTCCGATCGTTATAATAAAATAACACGCATTACGCGAACAATGGCCGTTGTTTGCGGAGCTGATGTAATTAATCCTAACTTTAGGATGTCCTGGTTAACATGGACCGTGATTTTTGCCATTAATGCATTTTTCTGCTGTACAATTTATACCATTTATATTGGATTGGTGGTGGAAGGTGACTGGAAAGTGATTTTGCAGACACTAAGTTTAGTGGGAAGTGCAGCACAGGTGGGTTATTAAATTTCTTGCTCAAAATATTTATGTGCTAAATATATTTCTAGGGATTTAGTAAATTGCTTGTGGCTCTTTTTCGTCGTTGGGATATGGTTTCTATGAATGAAAAACTGTACAACATTTACAAGGAGTATGAAAACGACAAGGACTTTTTGACGATTTTATCATATCGCATTGATCTGATAATTAAAATTTTTAAAATTGTTTTATTGATTTATATTATTGTTGTATTCATCATTGTTTTGTATCCCCTAATATATGGGATGTTGTATGGGGAGAAATTGTTTGTTATGCAGTTTTTATTACCCGGCATAGATCCATTAACACATTTTGGTTATGTGGTACATAATGTTGTACATGTGTTTCTTTTATGTTTGGGAGGCTTTGGAAATTTTGCTGGTGACATGTATATTTTTATATTCATCCTACACATTCCCTTGTTGAAGGATATTTTAAGGATTAAATTTGAAAAATTAAATTGGATAACTCTACAAAAGCAGTATTCTAAGAAAACATTGCCACTCTTGAAGGAAATTGTCGAATGGCATCAGAACTATAATAAGTGAGTACTAGGTGGTGAAAATTTGCAGGTGGATATTTAATCTTTATGTTTAATCAGATTCGTTAAGCAAGTTGAAGGAACCTATTATAGTGTAATATTTGTTCAAATTTCTACTTCGGTTGTGGGTATTTGTTGCACCATTTTTTCCATTGTTATAGGCAGTTGGCCAGCTGCTTTTGTCTATTTAGCGTATAGTGCGATAATGTTATATGCATATTGTGGTCTTGGTCATTTGGTGGAAATTTCGGTAAGTATAGGGATCTTTAAATTAAATGTGTTTAACTTTATGTATTTAAATTTATGTGTGCTACAGGATGACGAAGTAATTGATGTTATTTATGGTGATTGTTTGTGGTATGAGCTGTCTGTATCGGAACAGAAAATAGTTTTATTAATGTTACGAAAATCCCAACGACCAACAACTTTGACAATTGGTCAAATGATGCCTTTGTCTATGAGTACGGCTCTGCAGTTAACAAAAGCTATTTACAGTTATATGATGATGCTGTTGAATTTTTTGGAATCGGATAATATGTAAAGTCATTTAATATAATTAAAATATGTAGTATGTGTGTAGTATTTTTAGTTGTATGCTAGTTCTAGTTCAAATTATAAATGAAAATGATGAAAATGATCCAAATGATGAGCTGTTTCCCATCGAAAGTGAAACCAGTTTCTTTTTGATTACAGATCACATCATATATACACATAATTATATACTTTATGAATTATATTATGTTCGATATATACTAATCCAGGAAGAATGTCAAATTTCTATATAAAAAAATGTGTGTTTATTTGTTTGTGGGTTTGTTTCAAGTCTATTAACGGTTGGACTAATTTTCTTTAAATTTTCACAGAGCCTTCCTATATATTTGGAAGGAACTATAGGTTATCTTTTATTTTTGAATTTCAAGTAGCCGAAGTGCCACACCCAAATACAATATTAGTATTAAGATATATGGAGTTCTCAATTTTTGTATTGATAACTTTGACATCCATATGAACACTTGAGGATAAACTATGCAGAGGTACAGAGGGCGTGGCACATCCCATATAAAGAAAATATTAAATTAGTATATTTAAGAAAAATAAAAACTGGAATACTCAAATTACTTCAAAGCTACTTTAGTATCAATATGAATATGTATGAAGAATGGGCGTGCTATTTATAGGGCGTGGCACCTTGCAAGTGAATTAAATATTCTTATATATTGGAAAACTCTTCGAGCTAGAGTTGTCAAATTTTGCACGAATATCTTTGACATCCATGTGAACAATTGGACGGAGTTTTAATAGGTTTGAAAAACATGGGTTAACTTGATATTGCAATCGTACCATCCATATATATATAAATGAAAGTGTGTTTGTATGTATGTTTGTTTGGACTTTTATAGACTGCTAAACGGCTGGACCGATATTGCTCAAAATTTTCAAAGTGTTTTCCTGTATGTCCAGAAGGAACTATAGGCTACTTTTTATGCTGATATTAAGAAAATATTGAATCAGATATGAATAACTTTAGCATCCACTAACGAACTACACATGAGGGTAGCGGAACCCCCCCATAGTAATTAAATGCAAAAATTCATTTATCTGGGAAACTAATAGATCTATATTCTTCAAATTTTGCACTAAAAACTTAAATATTCATCTAAACATTTAGAAGAAAAGGAGCGGACTTTTATCTGGGGGGGGACTTGAAGCCCCCATATGAATTAAATAGAAAAATTCGTATATCTTAGAAACTATTAGAGCTACAATCTTCAAATTTTACTTGAAGATTATAGCTTCATCTAAACATTTATAGTATAACGGGCGGACTTTCAATGGGGGACTTGGCACCTCCCATATGATTTAAATATAAAATTTAATTTATCAGGGAAACTAATAGAACTAGATTCTTCGAATTTTACTTCAATATCCATCTAAACATTTTGGAGGATAAAGTTCGGACTTTAATCTGAGGAACTTGAAGCCCCCACATGAACTAAATAGAAAAATTCGTATATCTGAGAAGGTACAGCTAGTAATAATTTAAAAAATAATATGAAAAGCAAGAACAGCATTATACAATTAAAACTATTCACACCTATAAAATGTTGAAATAAACCAATTTATTTTTATAAATTTTTAATTATTTTATTGCCTTCATCACTCTGCTTATATATATTATTGAATTGCTATATAAAATTATAGAAACCGATTAAACTGTCAATCTAGTTTAATGTTAAACACAGTTACCGCTATTATTTTAATACAAAGAAGATATTACTAATACACTGTTAAAATTATTTGAAAAATGTTTTTCAACTTTTACCGATAGTTAAATAAAATGAATTCAAACTCAAGTTTGATATCTTTTTAGGTACATTTTTTGGTTCAGTGTAACAGAATTTCTTCAAAGTCTTGTAAAATAATTTCTTTCAAGTTTCCAACTTGGTTAGTTGGTTTTTAAATTTATATCACTCTACGACTATGACTAAATATTGCTCTGATCGTTTTAATAAAATAATAAAATTACCCGAATAATGGCATCTGTTTGTGGTGCTGATATAGTTCATCCGAACTTCAAAATGTCCTGGTTAACATGGACCGTGATAGTTGCCATTAACGCATTTTTTGCTGTACAATTTATACCATTTATATAGGACTAGTTGTGGATGGTGACTGGAAAGTTATTTTGCAGACTTTAAGTTTAGTAGGAAGTGCCGCACAGGTGGGTGACAATTGTTATGTATTAGGATAATTTTCCTGAAAAATTTATTTCTAGGGTTATAGTAAATTGCTTTTGGCTCTTTATCGTCGTTGGGTTATGATTTCTATGAATCAAAATCTGGAAAAAATTTACAAGGAATATCAAAATGACAAAGACTATATGAAGATTCTATCCTATCGTATTGATTTGAATACAAGACTTTTGAAAATTGTCTTATTGATATATGTTCTTGCCGTGTTGCTTATTGTTTCGTATCCTCTAATATATAGTTTATTGTATGATGAGAAATTATTTGTTATGCAATTTTTATTGTCCGGTGTAGACCCTCTAACTCACGTTGGCTATGTGGTACATAATATTGTTCATATTATTCTTATGTTTCTGGGAGGTTTTGGAAATTTTGCTGGTGACATGTATATTTTTATATTTATCACACATATTCCTATGTTGAAGGATATTTTAAGGATAAAGTTTGAAAAATTTAATCGGGTAACACTTAAAACTCGGGATACTAAGAAAACGTTACCTCTTTTAAAGAAGATCGTCGAGTGGCATCAGAATTATAATAAGTGAGTAGTAAACATACACAAATATTTACATAATATCTAAATAATGTAATATAATTTTAGATTCGTTAAACAAGTTGAAGAATCCTATTAAGGTGTAATATTTGTTCAAGTTTTTACTTCGGTAGTCAGTATCTGTTGCACCCTCTTCTGCATTATAGTACGCAGTTGGCCAGCTGCCTTCGTTTATTTAGCTTACAGTACAATCATGTTATATGCATACTGTGGACTTGGCCATTTAGTGGAAACATCGGTAGGTGTATAAAGTACTCTTTAACAGAAATTATATATTCAATATCATACCTACATATTTCAGAATGACGAAGTAATGTACGTTATTTATGGCGATTGCTTGTGGTTCGAACTATCTAGGTCCGAACAAAATTTAATTCTCTTAATGATACGAAAGTCCCAAAAACCAATAACGTTGACTATTGGCCAAATTATGCCATTGTCCATGAGTACGACTCTGAAGTTAACGAAAGCTATCTATAGTTATATGATGATGCTTTTGAATTTTTTGGAAATGGATGATATTTGAAATCATTTTCAATAGCATTGTAGTTTCTTAGTTGTTCAGTTCAATTGATGATTTAACTCCAACAGCAATATATTAGTGTGCAATAAGGACACAACTTACAGTTCTAGTTCAAACCTTATTTGTTATAAACGTTTAACTTTATACCTGATTTAGTCAGTTCTAGCCAGTTCTAGTTCAGTTCTAATTCAGTTCTAAGTCAGTTCTAGTTCAGTTCTAAGTCAGTTCTAGTTCAGTTCTAGTTCAGCTCTAGTTCAGTTCTAGTTCAGTTCTAGTTCAGTTCTAGTTCAGTTCTAGTTCAGTTCTAGTTCAGTTCTAGATCAGTTCTAGTTCAGTTCTAGTTCAGTTCTAGTTCAGTTCTAGTTCAGTTCTAGTCAGTTCTAGTTCTAGTTCAGTTCTATTCAGTTCTAGTTCAGTTCTAGTTCAGTTCTAGTTCAGTTCTGGTTCAGTTCTAATTCAGTTCTAGTTCAGTTCTAGTTCAGTTTTCAGTTCAGTTCTAGTTCAGTTCTAGTTCAGTTCTAGTTCAGTTCTAGTTCAGTTCTAGTTCAGTTCTAGTTCAGTTCTAGTTAAGTTCTAGTTCAGTTCTAGTTCAGTTCTAGTTCAGTTCTAGTTCAGTTCTAGTTCAGTTCAGTTCAGTTCTAGTTCAGTTCTAGTTCAGTTCTAGTTCAGTTCTAGTTCAGTTCTATAGTTCAGTTCTAGTTCAGTTCTAGTTCAGTTCTAGTTCAGTTCTAGTTCATTCTAGTTCGTTCTAGTCAGTTCTAGTTCAGTTCTAGTTCAGTTCTAGTTCAGAGTTCTAGTTCAGTTCTAGTTCATTCTAGTTCAGTTCTAGTTCAGTTCTAGTTCAGTTCTAGTTCAGTTCTAGTTCAGTTCTAGTTCAGTTCTAGTTCAGTCTAGTTCAGTTCTAGTTCAGTTTCTAGTTCAGTTCTAGTTCAGTTCTAGTTCAGTTCTAGTTCAGTTTAGTTCGTTCTAGTTCACAGTTCTAGTTCATTCTAGTTCAGTTCTAGTTCAGTTCTATTCAGTTCCAATTCAGTTCTAGTTTAGTTCTAGTTTAGTTCTAGTTCAGTTCTAGTTCAGTTCTAGTTCAGTTCTAGTTCAGTTCTAGTTCAGTTCTAGTTCATTCTAGTTCAGTTCTAGTTCCGTTCGTTCAGTTCTAGTTCAGTTTTCTAGTTTCAGTTCTAGTTCAGTTCTAGTTCAGTTCTAGTTCAGTTCTAGTTCAGTTCTAGTTTAGTTCTAGTTCAGTTCTAGTTTAAGTTCTAGTTCAGTTCTAGTTCATTCTAGTTCAGTTCTAGTTCTTCTAGTTTGTTCTATTTCAGTTCTAGTTCAGTTCTAGTTCAGTCCTAGTTCAGTTCTAGTCCTGTTCTAGTTCAGTTCTAGTTTTCAGTTCTAGTTCAGTTCTAGTTCAGTTCTAGTTCAGTTTCTAGTTCAGTTCTAGTTTAGTTCTAGTTCAGTTCTAGTTCATTCTAGTTCAGTTCTAGTTCAGTTCTATTCAGTTCTAGTTCAATTCTAGTTCAGTTTCTAGTTCATTTCTAGTTTCGTTCTAGTTCAGTTCTAGTTCAGTTCTAGTTCAGTCATAGTTCAGTTATAGTTTAGTTCTAGTTCAGTTCATTCTATTCAGTTCTAGTTCAGTTTCTAGTTCAGTTCTAGTTTAGTTCTAGTTCAGTTCTAGTTCAGTTCTATTTAGTTTAGTTCAGTTCAGTTCAGTTCTAGTTCAGTTTCTAGTTCAGTTCTAGTTCAGTTCTAGTTCAGTTCTAGTTCAGTTCTAGTTCAGTTCTAGTTCAGTTCTAGTTCAGTCTAGTTAGTTCTAGTTTCATTCTAGTTCAGTTCTTGTTTAGTTCTAGTTGAGTTCTAGTTCAGTTCTAGTTCAGTTCTTGTTCAGTTCTAGTTCAGTTCTAGTTCAGTTCTAGTTTCAGTTCTAGTTCAGTTCTATTCAGTTCTAGTTCAATTCTAGTTTAAGTTCTAGGTTCAGTTCTATTCTAGTTCATTCTAGTTCAGTCTAGTCATTCAGTTCAGGTTCTAGTTCAGTTCTAGTTCGTTTCAGTTCAGTTCGAGTTTAGTTCAGTTCTAGTTCAGTTCTAGTTCAGTTCTAGTTCAGTTCTAGTTCAGTTCTAGTTCAGTTATAGTTCAGTTCTATTCAGTTCTAGTTCAGTTCTAGTTCATTTCTAGTTTTCATTGTCTAGTTCAGTTCTAGTTTAGTTCCAGTTTCAGTTCTAGTTCATTTCATTTAAATCTGCTTAGGTACAGTGTTAGTTCCTACCTTTGGTTGATTTCTTTGACAAATGTATATAAAATTTAATCTTTAGGAAAATTTAGTTAAAAGACAAAGTATTAAATAATATTATAAATTAAATCAAAAATCAAAAATTATCATCTTATACAGTCCGTTAAAATATTTCAAATTCATTCATGTGAATATTTTCTCATTTTCATGCAGTTTAGAAAATTTTTTCTAGCATTTTTTTTTCATTTTGTTTCTTTTGAAGTTTTTGACATTTCGTTTCACAAAGAAGGAGATTTTCTTTAAATTCAAATATGTTTATGATAAAACAAATTATAATAAAGTTGGCAATGTAAAAAAAAAATATAAAAAAGAAATCAAATAAATGATGAAATCACCCCAATCTATAAAGAATAAACGTTAGAATAAACAAACAGTAATATAAATAAAAATATGGAAACATTTTTGGTCAAAGATGACCGACCTAAATGTGGGCTATCAATTAGGTTGAGACGGAAGTAATGGTCGAAATGGCAAATATGCAATATTTGGTATAAAATACTTTGTGTTTATATGCAAAGCAGAAATCTAATTTCATACATGTTGTAGAATTTACACCCTTATTCAAATGCCAGTTCGACTGTACTGTAGAGTACAACCAAAATACATGAACGTTTAAATTTATTTCCCAAACAAAACAGCCTTCATCTACATAAATACATATTATACAACAAAATTAGGGAAAATATTATAGTAAAATATCAAAAAAAAATCTTTTATTTTGTTTTCAAACAAATAAAAGTAAAAAATGTACACACTCACCCAGGATAAAGTTCAGAGAGGCTGAAAGTAAAAAAAAAAAAAACATGGAAAAAACTCACCCCTGGAAAGGTGTGGCTATAAAAAATAAAGTATTATAAGGCATAAATAAAACCCTCATTTTTTTCGTTCTTTTTTTCTAATATTTTGACTACTCTAAGGCAGAGATACTAATACTCACACACACACACACACAGGACAAAGCAACAACTACTAAAACAAAATATCAATACTTTTTGTTAGAATATTTGAAAAATTTTCAAGCATCACAACATACGACGCACAGGAATATCGAAAACGGCAACAACTAAAGTTTACCCTCAAGTAGTCAAAACTGTAAGCAAAACAACAACTAAACATTGGAAGTCTATTTTAAGGCCTTAAGGATTCAGAGCAACAGCAACAACAACATAACAACTGAAATGGAAAGTTAAACAGAGTCCTGTGTGTAGACACACATACAATTACATATACATATTATTATGTGAGAGTAAGAGTATTATAATAAAATTTTATTAATAATAGAAAAATAAAAATGTATATTTCAACATTTAACAAGGATATCTAGTCAGGTAGTTACTACAGGCAGGATCTGTGTAATGCCATAGAATATTCCCTCTCTAACTCTCTCTCTCTTTCTCTCTAGTAACTAGTGAGATGCTTAACAATTCCAATAGATTATTTACACATAAAAATTGGTATTATTTTAATTTCATTTTCAACTACTCATTCCTAGAGGGCGTTATTACCAGTGACGTCATTATTTTCCATTGATAAGTCAATGTGTAATGTTTCTTAATAATTTGTTTATTTAAGGAAATTTATTTATAATTATGAGCGGAAATGAAAATGTAATAAAATAATTTCAACACGTTTTAAACTTACAGCATCCCAAATTAATGTTTACTTTACATGTTTACAGGGTGTACTAAGTGGAGGTGTTATTTCGATACTTTCCTGTTTTGAAAGTATCTTTTTTAGTGCCACCAGTAGGTTAGAAGTAAGTGTTCTAGTCTGTCTGACTGACTGGAGGTCGTAGCTTCGATTTCCACTTGAGATACCACCGCTGGTAAGGGAGAGCACAACAAGCCCGTCGGACGCCTATGTAGATGTATTTCTTCGGATCTGATATAACATATGAACATACGCTTTTAAAACTAACTAACTAAAACATCTCTTAATAACCTACACTACTATATCAAGTTGATATTTGTAACGCACTAAAATCTTAAAATATACTTTGAGCATCGTTTACGTCATGTCCGTCCATCCATTATAAAGTTTCAATCAAAGTAATTCAGTTTTGACCTAAAAGAATCTTTATGTCAATTCGATCATGTCATGTTGATCCATGATTTCATATAACTCTCATACAATATCCTTAATATCACTAACGTTTACTCAACATTCGGCCATCTTTGACTCTAGGCCAAAAGCCAGCTTTAGAAAATTTAGCTGTAAATATTGGTATCGCTATGAAATTCGGCAGATAACCTAGACGGGGGCCTTCAATGATTTGATAAATAAACGTTTTAAGATATTGATAAGCGATCATAGTAAGATTTATAT